TTGCTTTCTAAATCAGTTTTTGGCATAGCCAAATAACAAGTATTTATTTCCACCTACACCAATTTAGGCCGAGACAGTTGTCTTTGTGTCTTTCTTTGAAGGCAGTTACTGACATGCAAAGATGTTACTGCAGACCAAAAGATCTAAAGCTGCAGGTCGTGGGAGGATATTAAATGATAAGCAAATTCACATTTCTAAAGTAATTCTACCAATTTATTAGCAATGCCAGCTCCCGTTCCACAGTAGGGGAGGTAATAACGAAGACTTGTTAAAGGGCAATGTGATATCTTTTATGTAATGTCTTTTTTAATTTGTGATGAAGTCATTAAAGCAGCACTGTATCTTCTTGAAGCTTCAAACAATAGTCGGCATTAAATCTCCTGTGCAAAATTAAGGACAGTAGTTCACTGGGAAAAATAAGCATCTGTTCTTGCTAATGCTAATGGCCTTCTAAAAATCATTAAACTATTCTAAATTGGCCATGATAAAACAAAGCAAAACTGTTTTAACTTCTTCCAAAGCAAAGAGAAAATCCATTTTCCTTGCAAATACTTTGTTCCAAATTTGCTCAGTAACCTGGTACCCTGTACTTCATAAGGCATTTCTTTCTTATGAAGTTGCCTAAATCTCATTCACCCACAATCGTTTGGCTTCTTAAATCTGCATTAGTGAAAGCTTCTCTTTACTTCATTGACACAGTCTGCAGACCCTGAGTCACGACCATCTCTCTCTACTCACGGGCTTGAAGGAACTGGTACTTCAGTCATAGCTGAAATACAGTTTTTAGCTCCCCAGTTTCTTACAGCTTAACAAGAAACTTGTCTATTGTGCCGTGGAACCAGCTCACATAGCTTTGTTCTACGCTTACCCTGAAATCTTAGTTGGCCTACACTTTCTTCTCTGTTGTGTCCCTTCTGCTGTGTTGCCTTTTAAATACAAATTTAATTACTCTATATACGTAACATTTCTGCTGTAGAAGTATACTTTCTTAACATTGCTGTGCAGAGATGTCAGCTCGGGTTTGAATATAGAACACCCTAGCACAATGCAAGAAACAGACATATCATGAAACAAAGCAAAATCAAAGATCTCATAGCAAGACAGACAAAGATCTTGGAGTTCAACGCACAGACAGTAAAGAACGACCTCATACTTCACCTACCCTGCAAAAAGATCAAGGTCCCCAAAAAGAAAACAATGGATTGACTCCAAACACATCGGAAAATGCTTAGTCTCAGGTTTAATTAATTGCTCTGCCCTGGTTCACAACTGGAATCTCTATAACAACCACATGTTGTCAAGGGCCAGCATCAGGTGAATACCAGGTTACCCAGAGCAGAAGATGGAAGACAAATTTCTAATGGAAGTGCATGTGGACAAGTGGTGCCTCCTTCACCATAGCCATAACCTGGGTCTGTTCAACCTAAGAAGACTGAGAGGTATCTGATAAATGTTTATAAATACCTAAAGGGAGGTGGGTAGCAAATGGATGAGGCCAGGCTCCTCTTGGTGGTGTGTACTGACAGGACAAGGAATAATGGCCTAAAACTTACACAGGAAGTTCTGTACTAGTATGAGGAAGAACTTCTTTATGATAAAGGTGACAGTGCACTGGGACAGGTTGCCCAGAAAAATTGTGGAGTCTCCTACGGAGATATTTAAGACCCTTGTGGACATCTGCCTGTGCGACCTACTGTAGGGCACCTGCTTTAGCAGGGGGGTTGGACTCAATGAGGTCCTTTCCAACCCCTGTGATTTTGTGATTCTCTGATTTGACCGAAATAGGAAGTATGAGCAACTTCAGGTTCATACCAGTTTTTGTCTGTTTAAGGAATGGGGTTTTTTGCCTTCTATCGTGCTTCTGCTTTGCCAGAGTGGGAGTAAAAGGAAATGGAACGTTACTGCTTTTTGAGCTTTTTTTTTCTACCTTGTCACATTGCTGCAGTGATCACTACATGCTTCAGCTACATTGCTACACAGCAGTATTTTTTACTGCTGTCAATAGGCTGGGAGATTACTACTTCACAAACACTGAGGACAAGCATGATTTTTTTTAAATACGCTTTTAAGTCCCATATTAAACACATATTGTTTAATCATTACACACATCAAATTATAAAATAAACTGAAACTTAGTAGTGCACCCTCAAATGCTATGGTTATGTCATCTCCTGAAGTCATCTGCCTAGCTGGCACTTTACATTTACACTTGCAATTCCCACTTGAAGCAATGATGGAGGCATTTAGCTTACTCTCCTTGTGGCCTTGGAGTTGTACCCAGAAACACAGGGGCACCTTCTGGCTCCTGCTCTTTGCTAGTAATTCAGCACTGGCACTGAATGACTCTTGAGAAAATCCCCATATCTTTTCTTCACCTGCATCATACACTGCACTCCACAGGAGCATGAATGCAACAGGGCACACTGGCACAGAAGCAGAACTTTACACAGTTCCCACCTGCCATCATTCCAAATGTGTCCACTTGCATCCATGCAACAGCTGCCCAGTATGCAATTAAACTCTCCTCTACCAGTTGCTCTCTCCCCAGGCAAACATTTCAAAAGCCAGGACAGCAGAGGACTGTCTGGGGGTCTCAAACAGCACTGCATGCATGGCCAACCAATATCCAAAAAAAAGAAAAAAGCCCTTTCTGTGAATCCCACCGTGGAGGTTAAGAACCAGAAGCAACAGATAACCAAGGCATAACTAATACAAAAACACCTTTTCTGGATGATGGATTCATAAACCCTGCAAGGAAGTTTTCAGTATGGCAGATAAGAAACAGTCACACATCCTTGGAACCTGCAATTAATTTAATGTTAATTTCAACCTATAACCAATAATGAGATAACCAAGCAGTAACAGCTAAGAGCCAGTTGTCTTCCTAGAGAGGTTTTAGAGCAGTTTGCATCCAAGATGATGAAGCTTTGGCTTCTACCTTTAAAAAGATTCAAAAATGCTATCCCAATTTGCCAAGTTTTCAAAGTAGAAATGCCTCCCTGAACTCTACCACACTGCAATAAGGTGCAACTACATGGACTTCAGACACCGAAACAACACAAGAGGAGCTATTTCAAATTCACACTGCACAGATCACACTTCAGATCCCACCCCACTCTTCCCAGTTATGATATTCACCTTCCCAAACAGTTTCACAGCACGCGTCTTTGATAATCCCAGCCTTCAAACACTTGTTCCTGTTATGTCTACAAACATCTACATATTCAAAACAGTCTCTGAAGCACACGCTAAACATCTGTTTCAACCATTTTCCTCTTTAGAGTTTGAGCTGTTTCCTGGAAAATTGCCATCCTAATGGCCAGTTCCTCAGTTAGCAAACTGGAGAATTCATCTTGTATTTATTGATTATTCCCTAATGAAGAGTCATAAAGGTGCTGGAAAATCCTGACCAGACATTTCTTAATTAGTATCAAAGCACATAAAATCTCAAATCAAACTGAGCTCTTTGTCCAAAGTCTCAGTCACTGGAAAAGAAAGAGATGAAATCATTTTCTGCTTACACAGAAGTCTGTACATTTATATTAAAAAAATAAAATGTAAGGAAATTAATAAAACTATATAAATTACTCATTTCCTTCCAGTTTCTAAGACGCCAAGTAGGTCTTCCAGAATGAAATCACACTTTACTGAAGGAAGCATTCTTCCTGAAGGGACCAGCTATATCTATCACGTACAGAACTTACTGTAAATGAAAAACAAAACAAAACAATATAGCATTTGCCTTCTGGAGAATATGAAGATTTGTATTACATATAAAGACACAATACAAAGCATCCAAAGTATTTTAAACTACCTCTAATGGATCTGTCTTTCCATCACCGTGGCTTATAAGACAGTCAAACTTCAGTGTTCTCTCAGCCTTTGCTGGGCTGGTATGTTTTCTGATGGTACTCTTGAGAAGACATAGAGATGAGCAAAAGCGCCCTTAAATGTCAAGGTTTTTTGCTCAAAACAAGCCTCAAGAACATTCTGAATAACTGATGTCTCCTAGCAAGTCTTTCAGGTTAAGCCATCCTGAAAGTTAATTCCTTGTCTTCCATATCATTTAAGTTCTCAATTAAATAACCGAGAAAATAGCAGGAAGGAAAAAAATAACAGAAGGAGGCAAAAGCCCATCCTCACATGGCAACAACTGCTTCTTTTGTTATTCTCTGCTTGTTGAATCCGGAGTGGGAAGGTGGCTAGAATTCTTCAGCATAGCATAAAAGGCACACAAGGGAATAAAGACTTCGTGACAGAACAAAACCTCATCTTGTTAGTATCTATAAACATCCCCATTAAATTTAGATCTTCTCATGACAGTCTGCAGTCCCTAATGTAATTATTATCACACATATAAGAAAATGCCATGCAAAGCCAAAACTTCAGTCACCCATTTTCCTAAAATCTACCACTCTAACACCAAGTGTTTCCTCTGCAGAAATTCAGAATTGTATTCATAGGGTCAGTTCAGTACTCAGCAAACTCCACAACACTAACTTTAACCATATGAAGCTTCCAGCCCCTTATCACAACAATAAACAAATATATTCCACCCTAAAGAGCAGTTCTACACAGTTTTGCAAAAATAGTAAATGAAATAGGACAAGCTTATAAAGGACAAATCAACCGTGCTAAGGCAAAGAATGCAAGAAGGTAGAATAGCAAAAACTTGTGGGCCTTACTGGATATAGGAATTTGGCTTCTTTGCTGCAATCCATTACTTTTCTCTATTCTTCAAACTGCATGCTTTTTGGTAGTCTTATAATTACACTGTAGAAAATATCTTTGCTAAACCAGATAATTTCAGCATATCTTCCACAGAATTTTGTGTTCCCAGTAGATAAGATCACATCACCACATTTTCAAGAAAATGAGCTCCAAAATGGTAACAGAGAAAAGTGCAATACAACAGGAGGGCCAGCTAACCACAGAGTAGCTTTGCTAGGGTCACCAGCTTGCTGAAAAATGAAGCCACATACATAGAAACCTCTGCTTACCCCTTGCTCAGATTCCAGCAGCTCTGTTTTAACTCTGACTGCCGGCATCCCATCCAGCATTAACATTCTGTTTTCAAAAGCGCTGACGTCCTAGAGCAAAAAAAGACAAGAGTAATTACAAAAGACATGAAAAACATTTGACAAAAGTTGTAATTCTATACTATTAGAGAAGTAAGTTTCTTCTAAATGAAGTTCATGAACACGTAATAATAATCACAGAATCACAGAATCACCAAGGTTGGAAAAGACCTTCAAGATCATCCAGTCCAACCATCCACCTATCACCAATAGCTCTCACTAAACCATACCCCTCAACACAAAATCCAAACACTCCTTGAACACCTCCAGGGTCGGTGACTCCACCACCTCCCTGGGCAGCCCATTCCAGTGCCTGATCACTCTTTCAGAAAAATAGTATTTCCTGACATCCAACCTAAATCTCCCCTGGCACAGCTTGAAGCCATTCCCTCTAGCCCTATCACCAGTTACACAAGAGAAGAGGCCGACCCCCAGCTCACTACAGCCTCCCTTCAGGAAGTTATAGAGAGCAATGAGGTCTCCCCTGAGCCTCTCTTCTCCAGACTGAACAATCCCAGCTCCCTCAGCCGCTCCTCATATGGCCTGTGCTCCAGACCCCTCACCAGCTTTGTTGCCCTTCTTTGAACACGTTCCAGGGCCTCAATGTCTTTCTTGTAGTGAGGGCCCAAAACTGGACACAGTAGTGGAGGTGTGGCCTCACCAGAGCCGAGAACAGGGGACAATCACTCCCCTGCTCCTGCTGGCAACACCGTTCCTGATGCAAGCCAGGATGCCATTGGCCTTCTTGGCCACCTGGGCACACTGCTGGCTCATGTTCAGCTGAGCATCCATCACTACCTCCAGGTCCATGTCCAGGTACATATTAATAACATGTAATAATAATGTTAAACCACTGTTTTAGTAACGGACAATATGTGCTGAGAACTTCGGTTAGAAGTGAGAGCTGCAAAGCTGAGATTGTCTGCATCGACATCCTCATTTATGAATGCCCCATTCCACTGTTTCCTGAGTTTTCTCATGAACTATGCAGAACAATCTTCTGTGCCTTCAGTTCAGATCCCACCTCAACCTGAGTTAATTTCATAATGCAGCCAAGGTTCAAGTCTGGTACTTGAAAGTGAGTCCCTTCAGCTGCCTTTTGGATTGGACAAGATGCTGAGAATAAAGATATTTTATCACTTCAATGACAATATGACCTGACGAATCAACACACTTTTGTCAGTTGTATGGAAATGTGAAAGCCTCAGAGCTACTTATCAAATATGAAACTATGACACATATACAAGCTTTTAAGTGACTTTCACAGCTACTTACTTATTTGTGGCCCCCTCTGGAAAGCAGTACTTGAGAATGGAAACTCACTTTCACTCTGTTACCACAGAGACCTCAATAAATGTACTGCAATGGAAAAAAAACTTTTTTTTTTACGTGTTTCACTGGCAGCAGATCTGCTCAGCACTGTGTGGTGCCATTATCCATAAGGAGTTCCTATGTTAACTGCCCTGTTCCTTATCATGAGTCCTTCAGAAGAATTTTTAAGAAAAACCATATGCCCTAATGCTTCCTAAAAGCTTCTGAAATATGCTTACTTTTCAGCAATAAGTTCTGTACCCATTGATTATTATTCAGTGTTTGAGGTGCAGGTTGGGAAAAGCAAGGGGAGGAGTATGACGCCATGGAATAGCTCTTGGAAATCACTCCAGGCTCTACATCCCTCTTCCCAGCAAGGGCTGCTGCACTGTGTTTACTCATCACAAGTGAATCTCATGCCTTTGGGCATTACAGTGCCTCAGTGACTTGGATGTGCTTTGGGGTGGAGCAGCAGCAGGAGCCAGGCTGGCATTCTGGGCTCTCCCAGCACCTGTTCTGCAAGCAGGGAAGTCCCCCTACATTCTTGATTTATAAGCAGCACAGTTGAGTGTTACAGAAAGATCAGGAATATACCATAATAAAGCATCCCTTAGGTTGTTTAGCTTGTTGACAAAGAAGAATGAGCAGATATTGCTTTGTGTCCCCGAGGACGTCTTACCCAAATGAAAAAAGGGACTTGCTGCAGAAGGCACAAGCAGGAGGAGGGGGGAAGACAAAGCACAATCGAGGAAAGGCATGTTTAATGAACTGTTAGAATCTGATTAGAGGCTAATGTCCCTTTTAGTGCTTTGTACCAATTTATAGCTGATATACTTGAACCATTTTTTCCCACTGGCTGTGGTAAACTCATTAGCTCTAAAAATGCAAGCTAACTAGAGCCTTTGAAGTTTAAAACTGATAAATCATGAAAACCTGACTGGTTCATGTACCATTTAACACATTCACATTTAACCAATTTTTCCCAGCACCTGTTTCCCTTTTGTTGTCTGAAATCGTATTTCTTAAAAGCAATGCTATGCCTTTTGAGCGTAGGTCTGAAGAATGAATACAGTGAACAGTGCTGGCTTTTGGGTCATTCATAATTCAAGAGCAGCAACAATCTCAGGAGTAGATTCTTTACAAACTATTTGATCCTTCTGCATTTGTAGCTGAAAAGACATTGTGTGACATATCCGGGCAGACCTGAGCAGATCTAATCCGTGCTTTACACACACAGGTGAAATATTTAGCCCAGCATTCACTCATAGAGCTGATCTCTCCTAACTCCACTCTCCTGCTGCAACAAGGCTTTGCTCTACAGTATGCTTAAAGCCATTCTGCAAATACAATATAATTGCTGAGGCTTGTGTATGGTGGGCAGCCATCTAAGGAGAACAGACTCAAGTGAGACGGGTGGTGAGGTGAATTCAGCTTCCCTTGGAACCCCTTGGTCAGCTGGGCCAGATGGAGCATTCACACCTGAGCGAGGCCAGGCTGCTCCAGTGCCCCATGATAATTTATTACACTCAGGGGACCCACCAACCAGGATTGCCGATATGATGTATTAAGTCAAAACGTTTTTCACACCACACTTCCCTCCTGGTTCACTAAACCCTACTGTGGCAGCTAAATTGCAGCCCTCTCACATGTGAAGGTGATACGAACTCTTGTGCCAGCCTCTGATGCACACCATCCCACCTCCCAGCCCTGCCCACCTGCTGGACCCCACTCACCCACCCAGGCACAACACAGCAGATGCATAGTCTAAAGTAGGCATATCACCAAGCCTAGCTCTGCACGACTTTATGGAAACATCTGCTATCTTGGATCAATAAACTAACTGACCCTAAAAGAAAAAACCTCTGTTTCTCACTGCTATCAATTTCAGCCTTTCACTGATCAGGTTTGGACATTTACTGTCTTGAAAAATGAACATAAAACACCAAGTATGTGCAATTACAGTTATTACAGCACAATGACTACCATTACAGTAACTGTCACAGGAATCAAATACATTATAAGGTTTACATGCTCCTTTTCTGAGAAGACATCTAATAAGAAACCACTATTTTTGAGAAATGCAGCATCAGTCAGTGGAAGAGCATTTCCAAACACAGCTTTAGATTTACAGTAAACAAGTTTCAGTCTTAATGAGAGCATGCTCAAAGAGCTAAGAGCAGAAGACGGCCCCTAAAAGTCTTCCTATCTCAAAGCTATGACAGATAATTTGTCTTGCTTCTTCATCTTTGAGTCGTTTTCACACAAGTTTTCTGCACACACAGGAATTTCAGAATTCATCATTTTCTCAAACTTTGAGCCATTTTTGCAGGACTCCCAAATTCATTGTTTGCTTTTTTTTTTTAATGACAGACAACTTAAATGTATTACAGAACTACAAAACAGCCCACATTCCTTCTACGCTCTGGCAATAAGATGACTGCTGTTTTTTTCTGAAAATGAATACCTGAATTCACACTATTCTTATTACTTACATTACTATACTGAAAATACAGTATCCATCAATCAAAGCAATAAAGCAATAGACAACTCAGGACAAAATATCTGAAGTGATCCATGCAAGGTAAAGCTTTTGAAAATATAATTGAACATTTGAATGATATAAAAATATGATTTTGAAAGTTTGAAATGCTTCTTTTTCTCAGGTTCAAGGGAAACCAGAAGAATGAAAGATCATAATCTCTTCTCAAACACCACTACCACCCCTAAGGAGAGAAGGAGAAACCTTGAATTCTCACAGGAAGAAAGCATGAAACTGCCTTTCAACTTAATCTCCTATGCTTGCTTAAGACCTTCATTTCCAAAAAAGTAATTTATACACCAACACAATGACATGTTAGTTGTAGAAATGATGTTTCTTTTAGGGTAAAGCACACAGGTTAACATTGCCACAGTACGTATCCTAGCAGTTCATTCCAATAAGCGAAGGAAGCAACCATCCAATAGAAAATAAAAGGAAATTTATGTGGCTAGAAGGTAATCACTCAACTGGGAATTCTGCCAGGGAATCGGGGTTAACAGTCCATGTCTTGCCATAGGATCTTCATCATATGCAATTATGTATATTGCCGTGTGAAATGCTTAGAATGAAAGCAGAAACTCTGGTAGTTCTGCATTTTACTCTGAACTTGAATTTCATGTCAAATGCACCAGAAAAGAAAAGGATCATTTGCATTTATTGATGCTTCAAGGAAAAGGAAAAAAAAAAAAAAAAAAATGGTTGAACATTAAATTTTCATGCTATTTTCAAGTGAAACCGGGTGTGGTTTATCTCATTCCATTCCAATTCAAAGTTAATTTCCTTAAGTGAGAGCAGAACTTAGAGTTTGCAGAAGCCTATGTGAACAACATGGACATAAGTGCTCTGTTTTACATCTTATTTAAGTGACAATTTTAAATAGAACAGCAAAGGACTTCTGTGAATACCCCAGGACATCAGCTCAGCATGAGACTGCAAAGAATAATTAACTATGGCTAACCCTGCTAGCCTTATAAAGAGCTGGGGGTGAACCCAAATGTAGTTCATAAAATCCCAAACATTACATCATGCCAGAGGAGGCTGTAAGGCTACAGAAGAGGTACATATCACACACACATATCTACATGGCATCCAGTGATTACATACTGTCACGGTTTTATGATTTCTGGTTATTGGTATTCCACATCATAGCATCATGCAGTGC